AGGTTCTATACCAATCCTATTTTTCAATTCATGTCAATTCTGTACTACCCTGTTTCCTCGAAATTAAGACATCCCCAGAAAATAAGACCTACTTAGTTTTGCCTCTCGCTGAAATATAAGGCATACCCCGAAAATAAGCGTCCCCCCCCACCAAGCTACCGTAATGTAGCGGTGGTGCGCAGATCACTGTTGGCTGCAGTGTAGGAGCAGACAAGAAGTACAAGGTCTCTTTTAATGAAACAATAAAACAATAAATGTGTATCGTATTCTTCATGGAAAAATAAGATATCCCCTGAAAATAAGACCTAGCACATCTTTGGGAGCAAAAATTAATATGACACTGTCTTATTTTCGGGGAAACAGGGTATCAGATTCTAGCATTATTATTGAAAAATCTAAATCAATAACTTAAAAAGTATCCAGATTAATTATACATTTCAAACAATTTTATTACATAGTAGCAATAAAAAAATCTGAAACAAAACCTGATTATCTTATTTTTGCTTCTACTTACTGCCAAACTAAAAAACAAACAAAATTTACTATTAAGGACAAAGTTTAAAAAAGGCATTTTCTCCCCACTGCTACCAAATTCAGAAATCTGAATTTAAGGGTAAGGCTTCAATTAAGCATGTAAAACGTAATGTGTGAAATTCTCCCAATACAATTATCACCTTTTTCATCAGCAACATCAGTACTACTTCAGCAGCAGCATTTTCTAGTTTATTCTCTCTGTGGCTATCCCCCTAATTAGTTCCCGTTGGCGAAAACCATTTACCAATCGCCATCACGTGGATTCCAACTAACGGTAACTCATGTTTAAGCACAGGAGGGATTCGATGGCTGGCTTTTCAAAAAAGTATGTAAAAGCTTTTTACAGATCTTTAAAAAACATTTACAGTAGATCTCTGGGCCTTTCTTAGACGGGGCCTGCGGATGGGGCTGGGCTTCAAACGTCTAACCCTAAAACAGGCAATGTGTTGACTTTTTTGCTCCACCCAAGGACTTCCAGTTAAATTGACATCTACATGGTAACAATGGGAATAATAGCTTGGGGGTGCCACTGCTTTTTTATTTACAGAGAAATTTTATAATTAAATGCTTCTTTTTTTCTAAAAACACAAACAAAAAAAGGTAATTATAGTTAACGTTTACGGAGTGCTTCCACCTCGTTATTTAATTCTCACAGTTGAGCAAAGTATGCCAGAGTAGCTAAATAGGGAGCCGAGGCTAGATTCCAAACTAAGCATTCGCATTCTAAGCAGGAGAAAAAAATTGAAGTGTTCTGATTTCATTATAATTGTTTTCTGATAAAACCACCATTTTTTTCTCAGCATTGTCTAAATCCGTTCTCATATTCTAGGGCTGATTTAAATATTCGAGGTCTACTAAACTGTAGTCTGTCTTTAAACAACGTGGGAACGGCAAATTTTTAATCGCCTACACAGCATTCGGCTCAGAAATTTTACAATACAGTTCGGCCTGATTGTAAATGGTTG